GCTGAGAGAGTTGGGGGTGTGCAGCCTGGAGAAGAGAAGGCTCCGGGGAGAGCTTCTGGCAGATCTTCTGGGGGGTCTCCAGGAAAGATGGGGAGACCCTGGGCCAGGGTGCCCAGAGCAGCTGTGGATGCCTCATCCCTGGAGGGGTTCAAGGCCAGGCTGGATGAGGCTTTGGGCAACCTGGGCTGGTGGGAGGTGTCCCTGCCCATGGCAGGGGGTGGCACTGGGTGGGCTTTAAGGTCCCTTCCCACCCAAACCGTTCTCTGAACTAGGGAGTGATTTAATTTTAATCAAAGTGAACAAAGACCAGAGATGCTGCATCTCAGCCTTACGAGGACTCTGCCATAAAAATTATTATGTGACAATCTGTGGATTTTATAGTAAGGAAGACAGGTGAAAGTTTTTTTTTTTTTTTTAATGCTCCTCATCTCTCTAAAAGATGAGTCAAGGAATAATCCCGCTGTTTATTCTTCTCCTAGTTCTTGAGGGAGGACTTGAATTACCACGACCCAACAGTCAAGCACAGCACCTTCCATGGAGAGGACAAGCTCATTAGCGTGGAGGATCTCTGGAAGGCCTGGAAGACATCTGAAGGTAAAAAAGCCCAACAGGCAAAATGAACCAGCTTCACCCTTCTTGCCACAGAAGCAATAAACACTGTGGATTTCCTATCACCCTGGCAGCAGCCGGTGTGCACCTCCAGGAAAAACAGGCTGCGTAAATTGTTGATTTGTTTCTCTGCCCCTGTAAGTGTGGGTTAAAATGGAGCCGAATGCTGTCCTGTGCCAGTTCTCCTTCCAGTCCCCAGTTCCAGCTGGTGTTTGTATGGGGCAGCAGCATCTAAAATACTCAAAAGGGCCGCGTGGGAGCCTTCCTACAAATAGTGTTGTCCTTAGAAGAAATTTCCTGAACCTAAAGAGCTCCTTAATCTAGTGAAAAGGAGGTAGAAAAAGTCCTAGAACCAGAAGCGTGTAACTGCGTTCGCTGTGGAAATGAGCCACAAGCTGTCAAAGTGAGAGACTCATCACAGCCAGTTCTCTTGGGTGCAAGTTCAGTCCCTGCTGGGAAAGTTCCTGAGGCTTCTGAATCTTGGAAGAAATTTTAAGTTGGATGGTGGTTCCCTGGCTGCCCCACGCCCAGGGCTGGAGTCACAGCGCTGGCGGGTCCGGGCATCGGGAAGGGGTCCGAAGGGGTCAGGAAAAGGCACAGTTTCACTTCTGCTTTTTCACCCACCAGAATTTTGGATTTTTTTTTTTTTTTTTGAGAGATCTTAAAACTGATTTTTCTTCTTTCTAGTTAAGCAACTTTATTCTCAAGCACAGGGCTTCATTACAGCATGGTATTTTACCTTAAGACCACTAGTTCTAATGGGAAAAATCTTCATGCCTTGGAAATGAACACATGGAAGTAGGAAGATCGGGCTTTTGCAGAGCACAGGTGTAGCGGTGACTGTACGATGCATTGTCATTCTCTTATTTCGTTGCGAGTGGCGTGTTGACCCAGATGACGGTGGTGTATCGGGTCCTCCTGCCATCCGTGGCGTGGACCCCTTCTGCCGGTGGCTGCCCTTCGCTCCTCTCTTGTGCTTTTCCCTTTGCTCCCGGTACACTGCTCAGCAGGTTGCTCTCAGGGCTGGAACATCCTTATTTCAGATATTTTTAATTGCTGCTCTTCCCTTATGTTCTTTTCCTTTCCCTCCAAGATCAGCTCACCTTATCAACCCCCATCACTTGAAAAATTGGATTTTAATCGTCAATTAATAACTGATGACCTTTTCCATTGCCCATTCATGTCCTGTCCCATTTGTGTTTAATTTCTCTGCCTTAGCCTGTACATGACCTAGGGGTAGGATGCACTCAGTGTTTCAAAGCACTGTGTAGATAGAATTTAAATAATATTTTAGCCCCTCCAAATCCTAGAGGGACTAAATGAACACTTGGGCACAGCACCTGAAAGGGGTTTGAGAACCCAGTGCACCACCCTGGCGTTGTTTATCCTGGACCAGACTCTCCATCCCGCAGAGATGGGCAGCCCCGTGGTGAAATTTCTCGTCCAAACCACTGACAAGTGGGAGTGCTGCTGACGAGTCGCTCTGTCTGCCGTGTTCACAGGAAGCCTTGTGTAAGGACAATTTATCCTGCTTACAGAGAGCTCTGCCTGCAGTATGTTCTCATGTCGGCTGGGAAAGGGTAGAAATCATTAAGGGCTGGAGGATAACATCCCATGATACTCACCAGATCCCTTAATTGCCAGGTTGTGTTTGCTCTCTCCCTGCTGCTGGCACACACGGGACCTACCACGGCTTCGAGCAGAGCTGCTGTGGCACGATGGCTTTCCTTGTGTCGGATGTATGGAATCCCAGAAGGGTTTGGGTGGGAAGGGACCTCAAAGCCCACCCAGTGCCACCCCCTGCCATGGGCAGGGACACCTCCCACCAGCCCAGGTTGCCCAAAGCCTCATCCAGCCTGGCCTTGACCCCCTCCAGGGATGGGGCATCCACAGCTTCTCTGGGCACCCTGGCCCAGGGTTTCCCCATCCTTCCTGGAGACCCCCCAGAAGTTCTGCCAGAAGCTCCCCCCGGAGCCTTCTCTTCTCCAGGCTGCACACCCCCAACTCTCTCAGCCTGTCCTCGCACGGGAGCTGCTCCAGCCCTCGCACCATCTCCGTGGCTCCTCTGGCCCCGCTCCAGCAGCTCCGTGTGTTTTTTTATGTTGGGGTCCCCACTGCTGGACACAGCACTCCAACATCTGAATCCCAGTCATACAATTAGGAGAATCAGGCTTGTAGGAAAGATCTACGCCTTCGTGCGGGCATGAAAATCAGCTTGAAACAGCCCTGGAGGTTTGATGGGGTCAAGTGCCCGGGGAAGTGAGGCTTTGGGCAACCTGGGCTAGTGGGAGGGGTCCCTGCCCATGGCAGGGGTGGCACTGGGTGGGCTTTAAGGTCCCTTCCCACCCAAACCCTTCTGTGATTCATGCTGGGCTGGCAGGCGCTGACATCTCACTTGTGGCCCCAGAAATGGGTTTTCCATAGTTCTGGGGCTGGGGACCATTAACTGCGGGGGCAGTTTGCTGGCTTTGTGTTTGCCACCATCCATCGCGAGTCCTCGTGTGCACCCCCCGGGAGGTGACGCCATGGCCGGGGGTTGGCTGGGACAGAGTTAACTTTCTATCCAAGTCTTGCTCTCCTCTGCTCTGTCTCTGTCATCCTTGGGTGGAAGGAGGGAGCTGGAGGATGTTTCTCATATTTGCGGCACAGCTCATCGCTGACATTAAGCCGCGGCCGCGCGGCTCTGAGCTCGGCAGCCATGCAGCCTGTGGAGCCGTAGTAAATGGGGCTTTTCTCCATGTGGCTGTTGGAAGGGGTGTGGAGAGAGGGAGCGATGGCTGCTGGGCCAGGACTGTGCAAGGTGGGACCCCCAGCAGTGTCCTGCACAGCACTCAGGGCTGCTGGAGCTGCAGAAATGCTGCAAGAGCTCAGCCCCTGCGAAGCAAAGACAGGAGGTCATAGAATCACAGAATCCCAGGAGGGTTTGGGGGGGAAGGGACCTTAAAGCCCACCCAGTGCCACCCCCTGCCATGGGCAGGGACACGTCCCACTAGCCCACGTTGCCCAAAGCCTCGTCCAACCTGGCCTTGAACCCCTCCAGGGATGGGGCATCCACAGCTTCTCTGCACAACCTAGTTGATAAATTAAATCACAGCAAACCCGCCTCTGTCCTACAAAAAAAATCTGTTGCATGGTTTTTCTTTGCCTTCATACCGTGCTTAAGTACAACAAGACTAAGTGGCAGAGGCAGGAGCTTTGTTTCCAGAGGTTTCCTTGTCTGTGGCTGTGTGTCAGCTCCAAAAATAATCCCCAGATCCAGGGGGGAAGCAGATGAATAGAGAATTTCACCTGGTTCGCTTGGGCTGCTGCACCTGCTCCACCTCCTCCCACAAATCACTTTCTCAGGCCATTTACAATCATTTTTTTACAAAATTTTCCATGTGCTCCTTTTTTTGGATTGATGCTCTGGTGGTCGAGGGGTCTGGAGGAGGGGTGAGGGGGGTGCCAGGTCCATTGGCTGAATTCAGTATTTCATGGGTTCGGACATGTGGTGCGGGTGAACGTCCCTTGTTGGGAGTTTGGAGCCAGCAGCATCACTCTGATGATAGAAAACAAAGTGATTTCACTGATCCTCTGCCAGCGCCTGGGGCAGTGCTCCTCCGGAGGATCTCAGCCTCCGGCGCTACTGCAGAAGCTGCCAGCGAGGCATCGCTGGCTCCAGCACCGTCTGGGGCTGCTCCTTTATCTGACGGCCTCTTTCCAGGCTTTTATTTGTGAGATGGAAGCACAGTGTAAGATAAACCACCCTGAAACCCTTGTTGCCATAAAATAATCACACAAACCACCAGGTACAGGCTGAGGACCTGCGGGAGTGCCGGGAGCATCCCAGGAGGGTTTTTTCTTGTCTCATCCTCACAGAATGTGATGTCCCTGACCCAGCTCGCTGCTGGCTCGATAGGAATGTGTTTAACCCCTGCAGATGGTTTTTTGATGGGATGAGGTATGTCTGGTGGAGCTCTGCTGGTGTTGCTGGCATGATTTTAGTTGTTTAGTAAAAATATTAAGCTGCTTGCTGCTTGTTTTCTGCCTCTCCTACAGTGTACAACTGGACAGTGGACGAGGTGGTTCAGTGGCTCATTACTTACGTAGAGCTGCCGCAGTACGAAGAGACCTTCCGAAAGCTGCAGCTGAGCGGACACGCCATGCCCAGGTCAGTGCTCGCCGCATCGTCTCCTATTCCCCCGGGATGCGTGCCAGGGCGAAAAACACACCTGAGGCGGCTCGTAACGTCGTGTGGGACACCTCGGCACGCTCAGAGCCAGGACTGACTGCTGTTGTGTGGCAATTGGGAGGAGAATGGCTGGGGAGCCGCCCCGGGGAGGAGGACTGG